TTCTTGAGAAGCAGGAGGGTGTTGCTGACTAGGTTTCAGCATGACACCACACCGCCCTTCATACCATCCCTAGAAGAACGGGAGAAAGGAGGCAGGAATTGAGGGGAGAAGAGTGAGGCACTTCGAGAAAGTTTTAAAAAAGGAGAAATAGAAGAATGGGGAAAAATATAGATTGATAGAAGTGGCCTCGGATATAATTCCGATAGATTGTTTGTTGGTTTTATTCAATCTCCCTCCCCTCATCACAGATGAGCTTTTTCGGCTTTCCTGAACCATAAAGATGGGAATGAAAGCAAGAAAAATAAACTTAATCACTGAACACATAGGTTGCTGTGCCGCCCGTAACCCCAACCTGGAAAAACAAATACATGGTTAGCTTTGGAAAATGAAGGCTTATGTCACGTGAACAAAACTCAAATGTGCCCCAAAAAATAGGGGGTTATAACTTACGGTACATCCATTCGGATTGGATCCTGTTGCGTCATAGAACATGCCATTTTTATAGCTGCACGCCCCGCTCAAATTGCTACCCTCGATCTTGATGCTGAAATCAAGCTTCGCGTTGGTTGTTGGCGCGTTCTGGAAAATGGACAAAAATATGGTTCCGTCACTCCTGCCGACACCCAAGTTGATGGGGGCGAAGTTACCGATTGGGCGGCTTCCGTCTCCCCACTGGCAGCCCTCTTGAATCGTGACACCCTTGGGGTTGACGTAGTACTGAGCGGAAGTGCCCTTGCCTTGCCAGGTATAGTAGTTCCCAGAATCAGGGCATGTCAGCTCCGTGATGGAACCTCCACCAACGGAGAGGGGGACGGTTTCAGATTCCGTGCCTGGGACGGATTGTTAGAACAAAGTTCTTCCTTCTTCATGTGCCAGTGAGAGAAAAAGGAGGGGAAAGCTCAAAACTCACCAGGATAATCGGTACGACAGACGGCGACGACTTGACTCATGGTATTCTTCACCTGGACACCACCAACACCCTTCATACAGAGCTTCTTGGAAAGGCCTGGGTTCGTGAGGTAGAGCTTTCCGCCGGAACATTTCAAGCCACCTACGGACTGGCCAGTAGCACCTTGAGTGGAAGGCCACTGGGATTTTTGGTAACCAGGTCCGCAAGCATAAGAACACATGGCTCCGTCCTCACACTTGTCGCCATGGATACCGGTGCGAATGTCGGTAACTGACGAGCCCTGAACAGTGACGTACTGAATACCACTCCATCCACCAAGGCCGAGCCAGTCGAGAGAGATGGCGCCATATTCGGAGGGGAAGTTAGAGCAGGCAATCTGTCCGTCGGGGAAGTCTTGGTCGACTCCAGCGCCGCCTAGGGGCGGTGATGGCTCTTTAGGGATGGGAAGCGGAAGTTTGACCTCTGGCAAGTCAAGATTGGGAGCCTGGTCCTTGGGAGGATCAGAACTCGCGGACGGAGCAGGATGAGTTGTCGTAGGCTTCTCGTAGAATTCAGCGGCCTTGGGTGGGGTCACTGAAGGTTGCGGATCGCAAGCATTTTTTGCGTTATCAGGATCGGCCCACTGAAGGGCCCCTTCCTGGATTCCATCGCAAGCTTGGCTCTTGCTGATGAGCTCACCCTCGAACTCGTAGGCATAGACAGTTGGCCCAGGAACGACAACCACGTCAGTCGGATCTGGTGAGCGCTTCACATGCTTATGGCGATGGTGATTGTGTCTGTGGGATTGTGCAGCGGCTAGGGAGCCGGCTGCAGCGACGGTCAAAACAACGGAGATGGCAAGCTTCATAGCTGGAGACTTCTCGATTCAAACGACGTCAAGTCGCACAGGTTGAAAGTAAGGATTGGCACGAGGTCTCTCGGAGACCCCTTGTTTTCTGTCAGAGACAACAGATATATGCAGTTAGGTGGCAAAGGCCAAGATGGTCTATTCAAAATATCCATTGTTAGCGTCAACTACCGGAAGAAGAGCACAAAGGAAGAGAGAACAAAGGAAGAGAGAATCATCAGAGACGGAGTTCATTTGCAAATGTGCACAGCGGCAAAGATGTGGATGAACGATGAGCCTTGGTCTGCGAATTGGCATGGTGAAAAGGGGCGAGGCAACATACATTGGAACAAGTCAAATATCAACAGGTAATAAGAACGTCAGGGTTAAGTTCTTTGTACATGCAGGAGTTAATGACGGCTTCGATACGTCAAGGCCTACGCAGTCGATTGATATGCGCGTCGGATGGATTGGCAAGGAGTGAACAGAGACACTGTGAGGGTGCTGGCGAGAAGCAGAGCAGAACACAGAAGTTGTTGGATTTTGACTTTCCGAAAGGAGTGTGAGAGGAAGACGACAGGGTCCTCCAAGTGCGAGGGAAAGAAAAAGACGAAGCGAGAGACGGCGTGGGTAGAGAACGACGGGCGACGGAAGAGCGAGCGATGATGAAAAGGTGAAGAGGTGAAGGGGAGGACTCAGCGACGTGATGAGAATGGGAAGAAGGCCGTACGCAGTAAGCGAGAGACGGGGCAGCCACAATACGGTGCTGGTACCCCGTTGGTCACGTAATTCTCGTGACAGTCGGCAACTGGATCGTACAATACGCACTACACATAGTACATCAAACAGTCCATACGATGCCCGTACGCTGCGTACACCCCGGACGGGCCTAGACCGGGCGCCCCCATACGGCGCAATCTGATATTGCCCTCTTCCGCGGGACAGGAGCCAGGAATGCTAGCCAATGAGGGCAGAGATCCCCGCCATCGTGTGGGGCGCAATCTCAGCGGCCCGCTTGCCAACCAGCGGTCGCCAATGATTGTTTGGGTGAAGTCAGGTGGTTGGGAGTATGCTGAGTACAGATCTGTACCTAGGTACGGAGTACTGTTTGCGAACATGTGAGTTGTGAAGCATTTGATATGTGCATGGCCATGTATTTCTTTCCACTTAGTGGGTTGCACAGTACTCTGTATTGACCAGCTGTCGGGTGGTTTCTGCAACAAATACCTATCTACAATAATCTGTACGGAGTGCTCCATACAGTGATGTTTGAAACCGACAAAAATACTGCGTAATGGTAATGGTTTTTTTCTTTTTCAACAAGAGTGTGACAACCATCTCATATTTTTCTGTTTCATTTCTTTCACGCCATTCCTGTTCCTGAGTTTGTGCCATTCGGGCGCTTGCCTGGCGCCCAATCAGCTGGCTGGACACTCCTTCCAGTGCGGCAGTGCCTGACCCATCCAGATCGAGGAACTGCGCAAAACTCAAAACGTAACCTCACCTTTCCATTCCCGATTACCAAGAAATCGAACCAATGAGGGGCATTTGATACAGTTCCAAGGTCCAGGAACCGTTACCATTTCGAGATAATTGTTTACACCGTACAGACCCGTACAGCCCAGGAGCCTGATGTGGGACCGTCTTGTCTTCAAGCGTTATATTTTCTTGTTGTTTTGTTCACCAGTCTGGCAAAATCAAAAAGAATTTCTTCAGGCCAACGTGGAGATTATCGTCGCCATCGGCTCACTCTTTGTTTTGATTGAAACCCTTTCATCGAATTGAATCCTTGATGCCCAATTAACCCGATAATGCCATTTCAGCAGTTATATCACCAACGGCCGGTGCCAACTGGCAAGTCTGGCACTTTCCGGAAAGGCAACTGGGCTGCTGCTGGTCATGGATGCTTTTTGTTCTGTGTTTGCAGCTCTGCTCTAGTAATTGCGTTAGTGGCACACTAGATATTTAGTGCTCTAACCAAAACAATCAATTTACGCGGATGAACAATATTCTAAGAATGATTTGTCTCAAGTTCAGAAATTTGAACATATATGCAGGGCAATATTAGTAATATGTTAATCTTCCAGCAAAAATCGACCCCTGTCTCAACTTTACATGGTAGGTCGTTAGTTCAACCGTCCTGTTTCTCCTTTTTTTTTTTTTTTTCTTTTTCTTTTTGTATTTGTTTAGGATTGATTTTAGAATTCTCTAGAAATTTGATTTGCTGATATCGACGTGTGGCTCATTCTTGCATTTTTTTTCCTTTTCCTTTTTCTTATTCTTTTCTCCTCTTTGCTTTTTATTTGGGAGGAAATAATTTTTCTAGAGTGGGACACAGTTGAGCGTGGTGCTAAAAAAGTTCATCGTGGTGCAAATGTTCAACCACCAACCAATTGTGCCCAGGTGAGGGGATTAGGAAAAAAAATACAATTATTAGTCATTTTCCACGGTCGTTCAATCGTTGGTTGGCGGGATTGCATTTTAGATGGGGCGATCGGTTGGGCTCCAAGATTTCTTGAACAGAGAACCACCGATCGGATTTCTCTTGGCAACCTTGGAAAAGTTTGAGTCCCCACACCCCTACTAAAAATTAACCGCACTAGTCGTCGTCCATCATGATCAAGTGTTTTTTGTTTATTTTTCTCAGATCGTAACTAACCTTAATAACTCTAACCCATCTACAGAATAGAATCTAGATACTTAAAAAGTGGCAACGACTTAACTTGCGGCGTGATGCTGGGGAGTTAAGTTACAGTACTCCGTATATTTGAGAGAAGTCGCAATACAACACGGACCCTGATAATTTAACTAAATAAATTAAATTCCCAAATGGTCAGATGGATTCACTGTCCACTATCAAGTCTGGACATTCCTTGACAATTCTCCCTTGAACTGAATTAACTTTGCTTCTTTGGTACGCTCGTCACTTGTGCCTCATCTAAGCTTTTTCGCGCCTGTCTTGAACCCCTACTCATTTCTTTGGGGAACTCAATCCTTCTCAATCGCGTTTCCTTGAGACGCAGGGCAGAGGCAGAGTCATTCTTGAACGTACTGTACTAACCTCGTTCACGTCTCTGCGGACGTGGAAGGAAAGAAGTATGTCCCGGCAAGCCAAGCTCTAGTGTATACTAGGTTCTAAAGGTTGCGGAAGGGATGGGGAAAGCCATGTCCTAGATATGTGTGCAGGAATTTTCTGTTTCAAGCCTGCAATGGTAAATCCACTCACTGGAACTGGTATACGCGTAGGGTACTGGGGCCTCTTGCTCCGCTCACTTGCGCTGCCTCTGGAGGACAAATATGGGCTGGAGGATTCAATCGGCAAAGACTCTGAGGGTGAATGTTGATGTTTCAGGTGTGAGAATGTCTTATCATAATATATAGCCAGGCAACGGAACTTGATGCAATACGTCCATTTATCGTATCGTATCGTTGTCAAACCGTGTTTCCGCTGGATATATCATTTGCACCCCCGAAGCACCGTTCATAATGTTCTCTTATAAAAGGAGTAATTACATCTGAGGTCGGATGGAGAGTTTTAATCATGAGAGACAATCTTTGAATCTCTCATTAAATTGTGGGATGCCGTGAAGTGAATGCAGTACATTGCCAGTTCATGTGAATTCTATCAGAGCGATTGCTTAATCTAATATAGAGATCAAATCATTTTACAGACTGACTTTGTGTAATCAGCATTCATTTCAAAGAAGGTCCATGAATCAAGCACCTCAGTGGATTACTCTAGTGAGAAGAATCCTTTGCTACTTTTCAGTAAC